GAGAATTTCCTCTGGCCACAGGAGAATGCCCAGCTCATATAAGGATCAGACTGGAAGTACCAAGGAGTTAACTTTCCTGGGAAAAGCCCTCCACCAATGATAACTGGAAATGGTGGGTAAATATCTCAGTTTTCTATCTCCTTGGGTGGATGACTCTAAGTCAAACTTTACCCTGTCTCCAAGGAAATCCCCAGTAAGATTGAGCTTTCGTTGTCTCGAGCAGTGATATGCTCATTAACATACTTGTATTGGCTTCCCTCCTTTCTTTGTCTCAGTGCTCCACTCCTGTACCAGTTACTTGGGATCATTTCCCAAGTAAACTACTTGTACTCAATCCCCATCTTAAGGTCTGCTTCTGGGGGAAACAGAACAAGGGTAAACAGTAAGGGAGAAATGTTCTCATAGGAATCCAAAAACTGGCACACTGGAATGAAACTCAGTCTCATGGCAAATGAGTTTGGCATTGGGATTTCATGAGTATTTGCTATAAGGTTTCATTTTTACATAAAACACGTTGTTTTTTTCTTCTCTCTCCTCCATACTAATTCCTCACCCTTTATCCTGCAGATCTTTCCTCAAGTTTGGAGCCCCTACTTATTCATAAATTTGAATTGCTAATAACGTTGACTAACTCGTGGCCTATCATGACCCTTCCACTCTTCTCTACTTTATGAATTTTCAGTTTTAGACTTCACTGTTAACCATAGAAGTCTAATTTCAATTTCCAGTTCAAATGGTGGAGTAAAATTCTAACATAACCAAACGTTGAGCAGAGTTAATTACAATAGATTAGTAATGCATACTTAGACATCATCTAATCCAGGGCACATATGAGTAAGAGTCACTATTAATAAACTAGGACTATTGGTATAAACCAGGACTATTTGGAGTGTAAAAGAAAAATATCTTGGGCCCCCAAAATCACTAAGAAAACTCAAGCTGCAAACTGCCTAGGGAAAATCTGCCTCCCATTCTATTCAGTCACTACTCTGCTTCCTGAGATAGATGCATATCTGATTTGCCTCCTTTGGAAGGGCTAATTAGAAACTCAAAAGAATTATCACCTATCTGTGACCTGGAGGCTTTCTCCCTGCTTTGAATCTGCCTGCCTTTGCTTTAAGTGTCCCACCTTTCCAGACTGAACCAATGTACTTCTTACATATACTGATTGATGTCTCATATCTTCCTAAAATGTATAAAACTAAGCTGTACCCCAACCACTTTGGGCACATGTCATCAGGACTTCCTTAGGCTGTGTCATAGGCATGTCCTCAACCTTGACAAAATAAACTTTCTAAATTAACTTAGACCTGTCCCAAATTTTGGGTGTTTACATTTTGGTAACCATGGAGGGATTCTGAGTGGAGATGCCCCTGACCTTTGACAAGTCTCATATCAGCGCTTGGTGCCAGCATGAGCTAACTTTATGGCTCAAACCAATAGGACAATTTGCTGAAGTCTGGGAGCACCCCCTCCAGAGAATCCCTGATCTCCCAAAATGTGGTTGAGATCTAAAGTTTATTTTGTGTACAAATCCTCTTTTTTTGGAGTTTTACTTGCTTCCAACTCAAGGAGAGCAAGTTTTTTCCTGCTTCCATGAAGATGGGAGGCAGGTGACTCTTTTACGGAATTTGAGCTCACTTCTGACAAGGAAGACGAGGTTTTTTGTTTTTTTTTTTTTCCTGTTCCTAAGATGCTAGAGAGCAGTCTACAGCCTGAGACCCATCACTAGGTAAGAAACTGCTTTGGGAGTTTGTCTTGCAAATTCCTTTTAAATGACTAACATTAGCATTTAATAACCAGCTGGTGCTAATTTCCCCTTGGACTTAGAGCACTCAGAAATTCTATAATTTGTGTGATCATTGTTAGTATAGCAGCATTTTGTTCTAGCTGAAATATGGTAATCAGATTTTTTAAAAAATTTTTAAAGAGTTTAGTGTTAACTAAGTAAAAGTTAGCTTAAATAAAAGGCTAACATCCAAGGTGTGTGTGTGTGTGTGTGTGTGTGTGTGTGTGTGTGTGCAGGTGTGCATGATTGTATTTGAAAGACCTTCATGTTTTGTTTTGTTTTATTCCTCCTAAGACCTTCCTTTTTTCGGAGCACATTTTTTTTTTCATTTTCTTTTCAGTCGACTGAATTCTGTTTTCACCTAATTTTTAATTTTTTTACTGAAAGAGTTATTGCATCAGAGGCTACTCTTGGGGTTTTTAAAGAAAGAATAAAGCTTAATTTTATGTTTAATTTGGCTCAAAGATAAATAAAAGTGTCTCCATCTAGCAACACCAAACTTTTTCTCTGTGTGCCTTATGATGTAAATTTTGCTATTTGATTTTCACCTGAGTTGTTTCCTTTACTGTTCAAATTTAAGGCTGTTTAGCTGACAACTGCCTAGGGTAGTGAAGCAGGTTATCAAAAATTTGAAAGCCTAGATAGAAAAAAAAGAGGGGAGTTTTTATAAATCTATTAAATTCACTTCTATTGGCATGCCTAATATATTTTTATATGTATTTATGTGTTGTGTACAAAATGTTTCATTACTAAAAATACATAAGAGCTCTAGTTAATAAGCTTAAAGAAAAATATAAGCCCTAAATCATACTAAAACAGAAAAGACTAGTCAAATGCTTTTTCAAATTTATGTAACTTAAGTAAAACCTTTAATACATAAGCTAGCTTTAAAATTATTGATAAAGTAATATTAGAAATGTCTTAAGATTTGCCATATACATTTTTTTGTTTTGCATTCATTAATAAAGCAATTTCATACCTATCCCTGACCAATATACTAGAAGGTGTCGAAAGTTAGCATAGGGGTTAGAAAACTATAAAACCGGTCCAAAGCAGAATGATTTTTGCTTGTGTAATTTTTAATAAATAAGATATTGATAGGGGTTTAATGAAAATAGCTACATCTTGGATTTAGTAAGATTACCGTAACTTCTCATTCTGTGGCTTTAGGCTGTCTAATCCAAAGGCAATAAAGAAGTTTGTTTTGGGAAAGGACTGTTATCATCTTTGTTCCAAAACTAAACTATAAATTAAGTTCCTCCCAGAATTAGTTTGGCCTATACCCAGGAATGAACAAAGACAGCTTGGAGGTTAAGAACAAGATAGAGTTCATTAGGTCAAATATTTTTTCACTATCTCAGTCATAATTTTGGTGGTTTCATAATTTTAAATTCATGACTATCACAGTTTTCATAAATAATCTAGGTAAATAATTAAAGTAAAATAATTAGATAAATGTAATGGGATACATATTTGCAGAAAAGCTGGTCATAATTTAGAATATGAAGTTAAATTTCATAATAGATACTTCATTATTTGGGTATTTTCCAATAAATATATATTGTAAAACAACATTCTTGCACAAAAGCATGTCCTTTTAAAACAAAGGTAAAAAATTTTTGTCTAATTTAAAGTTTATTTAAAGGTTATGTATAAAACAAGGTAAAAGGAACCAGAAAGTAAAGAGAGATGTAAAGAAAATTACAAAGAGGTTTGTGTGTGTGTGTTTGGTGGGGGACAAGAAAGCTTAAAGAGAAGTAATCTTATATGGTGAATTTTAGTCCTAAAATAAAATGGTTGTTTAAGAAGGAGGGATGTTCAAGACAAACCAGAAAGTCCAAATATTATTATTAAGTTTTAGTTTGCTTAAGAAAAAAACCCAGAAATTTAATTTAAATTTTTTCTTTAATTAAGATTGTTACATCCATGTATCTTCCTGTATATGCTTTTAAAGTCCTTGTGACATTGAGTTACAGGGCTTTGATTCCTGGATCTAAAAAAAACACCAAGTCCTGCTAACTCTTTAACACTGACAGCAATTAGAGCATCATCTTCAGGCCCCATAGAAGATGCCAGTCAAAATAAACTATATTTCTGAGACACAGGGCAAAACAATTAAAGTCATTTTAACTACTCAAGGCCCAGGGACTGTGGTGGAAGAGGTGGGTGTGTAAGATTGTCAAGACCAATTTTGACAGATAAAATATGTTCAGTTTCTCTATAAATCAATCATTAATGTCAAAGGCACACTGATGCAAGACCAGCATATGGGCACCTGTGTCAGACTGCCATGGTTTTTTTGAAGCATTAACCAATTCCTTAATAAGGGTTGGAAAAGGCTTATGGAAGCTAATTCCTATCATCAAGATGAAAACATCATTGATAGTTTATAAAATTTTGAAAAAGAAATTTAATTGGCTTCATGCTGTTTTTATTAGGGCTTATCATTTGTAAAATTAAGTCCCCTCTGTCAAAGAATAAAGCTTGTCACTTCTTTTTGAAATCCTTGAATTATCACTTTGGTGAAATAAATGACTTTACAATGACCATAATCCTATTTTGTAATATCAAATGCTTTAAACCTTTTATATTTGACAAAATTTTAAAAATCAAATTACGTCTTTTTGTAAACTAACTAATCCTTTAAGATACTAGTTCCCTAAAGTCCAAAAATAACATAATTTGGCTTATTTGGTATAAAAACTATAAAGGAAACATTGTCAAATATGAAATGATGTTTGGTTTTCTTCAGGCTGTATTTATAAATGTGTTATTTGTATGTGTTCCAAAATTATGAGAAACTCCTGTAATTCTGATATAACTTAGTGTAAATTATTGCTAATAGTCATAATTGTTATTTTAAATTATTGTGTGCCACAGAGGTAACACATTTCCTTGTCAATTGTGTCTTTTAACTACAGCTGCCTTAAAACTTTTTTTTTCATCCATGGACAATTATGCCTTGTTTTGGTCCTCTTTAGAAGGTCATTTTATTATCAGCTATAAAATTTCAACAGGTGCTCTTAAATACAAGTTTCTGATATCTTTGGAGACTGTGACATCAGAATAGAGGAAAAATTTTCAGGACTCATGGAAAGCTAAAATGTTCACAAGTATCGAGGCGAACAGGAGTTAACTGTGTGGACTGAACCAATCTTTCAGACTTTTTACTTAATATGTTTGTTGATCCTTTGTTTTGTTTTTCAGAGTCTTAAAACTTCTTTTGACCTATTGACAGCTTTTAACAATTTAGTATACTCCTAAGAACAAAATTTGGAGCATATTTGTTTCTTTCTACCTGATTCCTCCAGAATTGGAAACTATTTGTGAGTATTCTTAACTTGTGGCAATACAGTTATTTGCATAAGTGCAATACAAATCCGATTTCATTTGTAACATGGCATAATTGGAGCAATTGGTTATTTTACCAAGGCTTTGACTGCAATGGCATGCTTTCCTTTAAGAAATCAAACTTAACTAATGGAGCCAATAAAGCCTTTGGAAAAAATGGCCTTATATTTTGTGTAGACAGTCCCTTTCATACCTGCCTATTACTGTATGGACTTCAGGGTGACGTGGCCTAGATCAATTTTTCCAGGATTCTTCCTCTGTTTGTTGTTGTTTATTCTCCCTGCTATTTTTGCTTCGAAGGACATGACAATTCACAAACCTGTACATGGTTTCTGACCTGTAGTAAGTAAAGAATGTCACTCTCTGACAGGTGCAGAAACCCCAGGTTTATCTTTGAACCTCAAGAGGAGATAAAATTCACCCAACTCACAGATATTAGATGGCATTAATCCTTGGCTTGGCTCAGCTTTAAAAAAGTCTTATCTGGGATTCCTTCTATGGAATAAAGTTCCATCAATGCCAATTTAAAGCTTATGTAAACAATAATTATTCTTGCTGCACTGTATACAAGCAATTAAGTATAATAAAGCAAACCCATCCTATCATGATTTGCCTTTAACAAAAATGGAAAACTGGAGAGAGAAAAATTGTTTCAAAAACAATTGTACACCTGTTAATTTCTAGTCTTTCTTACTGTTTTTAAATTGTTATTATTTCCACAGTTTGGGCAGAATTCTAATTTTTTCTTGGCTATAAGTCTTTAAAATGGTGTTTTCATTTTCTTTCCTTCTTTTTTCCCATTTTTCCTAATTTGGAGTCATTGAAAACTAAACTGTGCTTCTTAAAATCTGTGAACAGAAGCCAGACAATTTAAACTTCAGAAGAAAATGACATCAACCTATTTATATATATCAACCACTTTCATACCTGCCTATTACTGTATGGACTTCAGGGTAATGTGGCCTAGATCAATTTTTCCAGGATTCTTCCTCTGTTTGTTGTTGTTCATTCTCCCTGCTATTTTCTCTTCAGAGGACATGACAATTCACAACCTGCTAAAAATGAGGTTTTGGGACCTACCCATCTAGGAATAAATCATCATAGTCATGAGAGATCAGATGAAACCTGAGACCAGACTCATTTCCTTGTAAAATGCTTTCTCCAAAAGATTTTTTTTTAAAAGGGGGTAATGTTAAAGGAAAATATCTTGGGCCCCCAAAATCACTAAGAAAAACTCAAGCTGCAAACTGCTAAGGGAAAACCTGCCTCCCATTCTATTCAAAGTCACCCCTCTGCTCACAGAGATAGATGTATATCTGATTTGCCTCCTTTGGAATGGCTAATCAGAAATTCAAAAGAATGAATCACTTATCTGTGACCTGAAAGTTCCCTCCCTGCTTTGAGTCTTCTTGCCTTTGCCTTAAGTTGTCCCACCTTTCCAGACTGAACCAATGTACTTCTTACATGTATTGAGTGATGTCTCATATTTCCCTAATATGTGTAAAACTAAGCTGTACCCCAATCACCTTGGGCATATGTCCTCAGGACTTCCTGAGGCTGTGTCACCAGGGCATCCTCAACTTTGGCAAAATAAACTTTCTAAATTAACTGAGAACTGCCTCAAATTTTCGGGGATTCAAGGAGCAAATTTGAATTTATGACCACCTTGGCTTTTGGTGGTAATCAATGGCTTTTCCTAAGATAAATTGCTCATTGATTTTCAATTTAGCCATGAAATTTCAATTTAGCACACTTCCTCTGTGTGCGTTGGCCAGGGGGATGGTAGTGGCTGGCACTTGATTTTCCACTAAAGAGGCTAATGATTTCCCTTAAAAAATGAAAATACAGTTCTTGTTCAGTTATAAAACATTCATACTCATACCATAGGACAATAAGGAGCCTTATGGTCACCAGTGATCCTCAGACCAAACTTGGAAAACACCCCACAACAATTCACTCTTTATTGTATTGTCACAACACATTTTAAGGTTGAAGATAACTCAGTAATGAATTCAACTATGATCTATTTTGTATTGATGCAAAGTCATCTGGTAAAATATAATTCTCCAACATAATGGTTCAAATAAGTATTGAAGTTGCATCATGGAAAGCCTATTGTATTCAGGCAGTATTAGCATTGTCTAAAATAAACAATCTTGGGATCCATAGATGTCTCAGTTTTGCATTATTATTTGAGGTGTAATTGAAATTGAAATATTCATAAGTGCATTTATGTCTGTCTCAGATTCAGAGAATGAGTGGGAAGGAAAGCCCTTGATATTAATAAATAAGCAAGTAGCTTCCTTTAGCATTTCTTATCTTTGAAAATTAAAGAGAAGTTTGTTCAATCATCATTCTGCATCATTGTATTATAAAATATGTATCTTTCTAGATTCATCTTATAAATATTGTTTTGAAAGTTATTTCAGTAAGATTGCAGAGAAGGCCTATATTTTTCTTTAGAGTTTCAGATAGACAAGGTAACTAAGCTCTTTTTCTACAGCAAGAACAAAACATAGAAGCTTTCAGTAACTCTCTGGTTATGTTGAGCAGTGACTGGGTAAAGTAGCAGTCAGAAGTTCTAAGTTCAAATTTCACCTCAGCTACTCTAAGTCTGTACATCTCAGAAACAAGCAGACTGAGCTTGACTAGACTTTCAAATTTTGCTCTGCTGAATCTATGGAGTTCCATGTTTTCCTCAAAAGTCACATTCGGGCAGGAGAGAAAGGAGGAAAGATATCCTTTCATGTCTCAAGCAGTCAAAAATTTCAGGTTTCCAACACATTTCAACCAAATGATGGGTCTGATGTCCTCCATGCCTATGACTTTAGTAACTGTCAATATGCCAATAACTTCTAAATGTATATCTCCATATCAGATGCCATTTATGAGCACCGAATTGTCTACATCCAATTGCCTACTCAACATCTCCAACTGAATATTCCAAATGCCTATCAAGCTCAACATGCCCAAGACTAAATTCTTATCTTCCACAGGCAAATGGCCTCTTGCTGTGTTATCACAGTAAGTAGCATCAGTACCCTTTCAGTTGTGCAATCCTTAAAACTAGGAATTATCCTAGATATCTTCTACTTCCTTACTTCTATTTGTCCTCACTTGCATATCCTGTGAATTTGACTCTCTAGTATTCCTTGAGTGGTTTCACATCTCTCAATTAATCTTGTGACAAAAGTAGTCCAAGCTGATGTCATCTCTTGCCTGGATTATAAGAGTTTTCAAACTGGTTTGTTTTCTTCTCTGAATTTTTCCCCCCTTTCAATCAATTCTCCATATTTAAAGAAGATTTACCTTTGAAAGCTAATTCTGACCTTGTTACTTTCTTTATTAAAATAGTTCAATGATTTGCCATCATCTTTGGGAAAAGACCAAACTCCTTTATATAGCTTACAAAGCCATATATAGTTTTTTTTTTCCTGTCTCTTTCTCTAGCTTTATCTCATCTCACATTCTCTTCTTTGTACTCTAGCCACCTGCACCTTCCTTTCAGGCTTTTGTATAAGGCATGGTCTCTTCTGCCACAGGATTGTTGCAGGTGTTATCTTCATTTAAAATGCTTTTACTGCTCCATTCCATTCTCCAACTATCCTGCCTAGTTAATTCCTACTCATCCATTAGACAATTGTTCAGGAGTTAATACTTTAGGAAAACTTTGCAAAATTCTCAATCTGGGTCACATCTTTTGTTCTTTGTACTTTTATAACCACATTTCTCTTCTTCATTACATTTAATCCACTCATTTATGTGACTATTTTATTAATATATATAATACAGTAGTTCTAAGCTCTGTGAGAATGAAGACATGGCAGATTGCATTTTCCAAAGACAGTTGCAATAGTATCTCCTATTTCAATATGGTTCTCTGTGATGTTATCTTGTGACTTGCCCCGTCAAGAGGTGGAGTTTGATTCCTCTCCTTTGAGTTGGGATTGACTTACCATTGCTTTGGCTAATGCAATGTATCACAGGTGACATCATGTGACTACTATAGCTAAGATACAAAAATCAATGCGACTTCTTTTTTTCCCCCAGAACACTTGCACTTTGAGCCCTAAAACACCACGTATGAAGTTCGAATACTCTGAGTCTCCTGTACTATGAAGAAACCAAGCCACACGAGAAGTTCTTTGGAGGAAACAAGACTAATACTAAACAAAGATGTTGCTGAAAATAATCAGCTGACTAGGTAGCACCAACCTGAAAGTAAGATACAAAAAATGTATTTGTGCTTCTGGTGTCATGCAATATAATTGTGGAGCTAAAGGCCATTATCTACGAAAGTAAAGGCAGTTATAGAAACTAAAGTCCAGTTTCTGCTTTTTACTGCAGGTCTTGTTTTTGTTTTTGTTTTGAAACAGAGTCTAGCTCTGTCGCCAGGTGCCAGGCTGGAGTGCAGTGGCATGATCTTGGCTGGGCTCACTGCAATCTCTGCCTCCCGGGTTCAAGCAATTCTCCCACCTCAGCCTCCTGAATAGCTGGGACTACAGGCGCGTGCCACCATGCCCAGCTAATTTTTGTATTTTACTAGAGATGGGGTTTCACTGTGTTGGTCAGGATGGTCTCGATCTCTTGACCTCATTATCTGCCCACCTCGGCCTCTCAAAGTGCTGGGATTACAGGCGTGAGCCACTGCACCCGGCCCACAGGTCTTTTTCTTTTTTTTCCTATTGTACCTCCCTTTCTAAGTGAGACATGAGGGTGATCTCATAATTCAGCAGCCACACTCAGCATGTATGACCTAATTGTGTTTGTATGCAAGTTTGACACACACACACACACACACGCCCAAACACCCCCCCCACCCCCACATATTTCCACCTTCTTCATTTTGGCAAAATAATCTCAAATGCATAAACTCACAAATGCACAGATACCACTAGGAAAACTCAGAGTAGGATTTTCAAAATATATAAAGAATGTAAGCATCTATGGGACACCTGCTTTTAAGAACTATATTCATGTGGTCCTGAAAGATAAGATAGTTACGAAGTGTTCCCCAAATAATAAGACACATCAATCCAGTGGCTGTAATTGTTTGCAATGTAAGAGTTAAATATTTAGACAGCCCCAAAATAGGCTTTCTTGAGCATCTGGGAAAATGACATCCTTTATAACAGGAATGGTGCATTTCTACTCATCATTGGGCCTCAGAAACCATCAATTCTGAATCATGATAAATGATTTCACTTTTACTGCAAAATGACTCATAAACAACTTAGAGCTCAAGAGATTGTTTTGCAAGCTATTTTAAATTTATTTGGCTATGTTCCTTATTTAAAGATCAATATCCATATGAACCTTTAGATAAATTCTCCTTTAGAACAGGTAATATCAACAAGCAGCCCATGAAATTGGAATGCTTGTAAGGTATTTTGAAATTTCTCAGCAGGTTTTCTTTGTTACTGTGGCCTTGATTTTTGTTAAATTGTAACTGCCTCTAGATTTGTTATTTCTCTCTTTGACACATTCACAGGTGTGCTGGGCTAGAGGAATCAACCACAGAAAAAGTCCCACAAGACCATTTTTAGATTACTCCCTAATTTAGTTTAATGGAGGCTGAGAGTATAGTATAGAACTTTATTTTATGTGCTGTAATATTAAATATTTATGTGTGTACGGAACTCTCCCATGCCTTGTATGAGAACAGCAGTCAGAATTCCCTATTAATCTACTGTCTTCAATGTTAAGAAGAAAAAAATAAAGAAGAACCTGTCTCTGGTTTGCCAAAAGGTGAAGAAACATTTAAAGTCTAAATTCTCATTAACAGATTTACAAATATGAAAAGGATTAAGAAAGTGTTGCCAAGGGTGAGAGGAATCGCCTTCTAGAGGCCAGTTTAATAAGGCAAACCAAGTTTTAAAATTTTGTCTTGGGAAATAATCATATAGATATAGTAGTCTCAAGAATATTTATCAAAATATTAAACAATGGGAGAGAAATAGTAACTAAATATTCATCAATAGGGCACAAGCTAAGTAAAAATGATGGTTTATGTCTTAGTTTGAATTTTCAATATCTGTTCTTTCTAAAACGGTAGACATTTTACTAAACGTAACTACGTAACTACTGAACACTTGAAATATGTCTACACACCTAATTTCACCTCTATAGCACCATACACATCCAATTTCAGAGATGTATAGAGACTAACTTATTAATCATTTTTTATTTTAATTCCAGGTTGAAATAATTTTTATATATTAGGTTCCATAAAATATATTGTTAAAATTAATTTCATCTATTTCTTTTTACTTTTTAATGTGATTACCAGAAAATTTTAAATTGCATATATGCCTTGTGTTTGTGGAGTAGTCCTATTTCTAGAAATAGAAGTAAACCTTGAGACAATGATTGTTATGCAAGCAATTAAGAAGTGCTTCTGGAAGAATATGGTAAAAGATTGGAAAAAGCAGAAAAGAGAATCAGAAGAAGCCAAGCAAGTGTATGATTCAGATAAGTTTCAATCTCAGCCTGATCTTGCAGGGAGTTCTGGCGCATGAATTATACCTCAGAGTTTGTCCCACCTTAAGGCAAACTGGGCTGGGCTTTCCTATCCTTACATCAGCCAGTCCTTGAACCTCAAAAGTCACCCTGAGGACAGGTAAACACTCAGAAATTTCTGGCTTTCCATTGCCTTGGTGAAGCAGCTGCTGTAGACTAAGGACACACTCTAAAAAAGGTCACAGGTGCAAGCCATTGGAAACAAAGCACATGGGAGCTGGGGGATGGGTGAATATAACAAGTTATAAAGATCAGAGGGGATGAGAGCAGCCTACTGACAGTGTCAGCTATATTTTATATAATGGAATACTATGCAATGACTTTTTAGATTTAGATTTATGGACATGGAACATGTCCATAACATAGAGCGGCATACAAAAGCATATTATTAGCAAGCATCATATATGAACATCATATATGATCATGCTTATATAAAATGACATACATATTTCTATCTTCATAGAAATATATTTGGAAGAATTATCCACCAAAACATTAAGAGAGTATAAATCTGCATTGTGAAATTTTGCTGATTGCAATTTTATTCTTTGTTCTTTTATTTGATTTTTGACAATATACACATTTTATGTATAAGAAAGACAATAAAGCAATTGAATGCACGAATAAATTGAAAATAATAAATAAAACCTAAGATCTGAGATATGAGAACCTGTGAAATTTTATTAAGTTTATGAATTAGTCACCCATGACATTTTTAGGATACCTGGGATGCACCTGGTGATGTGATCATGGATGACATTCATCTGATGACACTCATATGGTCAAATGGCCAGCATCTGTTCTGCCTGAAAATGTTTGTGTTATGCTGGTCAGTATCTCGATGAAAAGAACTATCAAGACATAAATGCATATGGTCAAATTGGCCCTGGGTTAATTAAAGGATAAAAGAGGATGCCTGAACCAGAGGACCCAAGGTTCAATACAATCTAAATAAGCAAAACATCCTGAAGGATTGCAGAACTAAATATAAACGTTTTAAATAAAGATAAAATCAGTAACAGTGCCTTTCTGGCTGTATTAGAGCCTGAGGCTAAAATGAATAGTAATATCCCCTCTTTCTTTGATTAAAAAAAAAGTCTACATTTCCTTCAGGATGGAATTTTACATTAATTTTTGATTTTTTAAAATACCATATTAAAATATCTCATTTGATTACTGAGAATTTTGGAATCCCCATAAACTTTGCATCCTAGTTAAGTGCCTCACTTGCCTCCCCTTAGTCCCACCTTAAGTTGGAAGTGTCTCATGAAACAACCTTAGTCTAATCACTTGATGTGCACATAAAACTATCATCTGCATATCCCTTTTGAGAGTTGGCTGTCAGAGTGACAAATAGAAAACCTTGCTGTAACCCTTCCTTTCATTAATGGCAATCCAGCGCTGTCTTTACCTGAACTATATGAGCATGAAAAGGGATGTTGAGACAGAAGGATTTTCAGATCTGTTTGAGAACCATTAACAAAGCAGTAAATGATATGTGCTGAAGATGTGCTAACATTTACATGTATTTTAATACAGAGATAACAAAAGTAAAAAAAAAAAACCGAAGGGGAAAAATTGTTCATTCAGACACAAAAGTGATTATTAAAAAGAAAGCTCATAGGTCAGAAATTACAGAGAAATAACTTACAGCAAAGGGTCTCTGGGAGAAATTCCAACATTCATTCTTGGTTTTGTGGGATCTTGCATTAAGACTTACATAAAAAGATGTGCAGGATTGCATTACAGTGCATTTTCATATTACTTATCATTTTGTTTGCTCTCAGATATTTAGCTTCCCTTAGAGTATTCTGAGAGGATCAATATATTGAAATTGGCTGACCCCACTCTTTTTTTCACCTCACGAATACCTCTTTCATAAAACCCTGCCCTTAAATAGTTTACAAAATGAGTGGTAAAAAAAGAATAGGTTAAGACTAAAAGTTGTTTCTTTTCTTCCTGAAAGCTTTGTGTAAAATTGCATATACAGTATATATTTATAGTTATCCCAATATATTTATGCTGTTGCATGTTTTATCCTCTCTCTAATTTTTTAGAAATGCATATTTTCAAGTTGCATTTCTATTGCAGACCCTAGATCTGAAAAAGAATCCTTGTGCTAAAAAATACTGATTTTCTTGTTTACAAATAAAATTCAAATAGAGTTGATTAGTCATCTATGAAGCAGTTGATAATTAATGCTTGAATAATTTTCTTAAATGATACAATGTAGTTTTTCCACAGGAAGCAATGTGATATATGAAAAGTTCAGTTACTTTTGGGATATTTGTTTTATATTGTGAAAATCACATCTTGAAGGAAACACCTCAGAATTAAGTAGCACTCAAAACCAAAAGTCATTATATGCCTATTGGCAAGATCAATACAACATAGTGCTGAGAGACACTTGAAAATATGTTTGCAATAAAATGTAGAGAGTGACTGACTCTTTTACAATGCTCACTTTGAAATGGGTTGCAATGAAAAAGAACTGTTGGTGATAGACCATAGCCCCTTGGCACATGCTGTTCCAGACCACGTGAAGGGTGTTCAAGGCTGATCCAACGACAAATAGGAGGTGCACAATAAACTCCTCAGCTTCCTTGCCCTTTGAGAGTGGGGTAGGGAGTAGACAGCTTGGAATATTGTTCTACATTGTCTCCCAGAGCTTTTCAGTGGAATTGAGCCCCAGTTGCTCATAGTGACAATTTGCTTGATAAAGTACTCTGCATTCACTTCCTTCTTTTCCCTGTTTCAGTTCCTACTCTCCTACAAAGACCTCCTGTGATCACTTCCCAGACAAACTTCTTGCACTTGAACTGATGCAGAGACTTCTGGAAGGGTCACAAATCGAAGTAATCTCCTTGGAGTAAGTCAGTGAAGAAATGAATCTAGTAATGAATTCAGATTGATCTGTCTGTCAATTCCCAAATCATTCAGTTTGGTGCAGCTCTCCTAGAATCTTTAGATGCTTTAAACTCTGCTGTCTTTTACAAAAATAAAATAAAATGGAAAATATTTCATTTGATATACTTCCTTCCTCTCCTCTCAAAGTGCATAATGCTTGAAAGCAAGCTCTCATGTCTGAGAGTGTACAATCTTGATGTAGAAAATTAGGCACAAAATAAAAAATGAAAAATTTTGAACTAATGTTCTCAAAGCCTCTACATAATGACAGCTTTTATGGCCCAGTGTTGACAAATGAAAAGGATCCCCTTTAGGGCAACTGTGTATGTTCACAAAATAAACTATTAAAACAGCTTGGGTAATTTTTTTTCAAATGAAACAGGTCCACTTGAACATGTCTTGCTGAAAAGTCATTAGTGACCCTTGGCATTTCATCTAGACTTCTATATGCTTGTCACTGGGGCCACATTAATATTTGAACATCATACTAGCAAAACACAGATGTACCAAGGCAGTGGAAAGACAAGGTATAAGAACTGTCTTCAGCTCCATCTGAATAAATGAGCAGAATAATGTTGAAAAGCCTAGATATAACAGTGTCCCTTAAAAATATATGGCACAGAGAAAACTAAGATGTGTTGCCATAAAGAGAAGTAATCTTTGTATGTTTCTAATTCAACTCTTCAATTCTCATGTTTGCATCTAAATGTCCCACCCTTTGTCATTGCTTTGTAGCATTTACCACTGGAAAATACAGTATATTATTCAGATGTTAGTACACATGTTACTTAATGCACAACTGAAAATCCCAGACATTCTGAACATGAAAATTCATAGCTGTATTCATGAGCAGCAAAAATCTGTAAGTAATGATATGATCTTATATTTGAAAAAAATCTGAAGACTCCACCAAAACACCTACCAGAACTGATAATTTAGTAAAGTTTCAGGATACAAAATCAATACACAAAAATCAGTAACACTTTCATATGCCAACAGTGAAAATCTGAAAAAGAAATAAAAAAGTAGTCTCATTAACAATAGCCACAAATAAAATGAAATACCTAGGAATTAACTTAATCAAGGAAATGAAAGACCTCTACAATGAATACTATAAAACACTGATGAAAAAGAAATGAAGAAGACAAAAAATGAAAATATATTCCATGTTCATGGACTGGAAGAATCAATATGGTTAAAATGTCTACACTACCAAAAGAAATCTACAGATTCCATACACTCCCTATCAAAATGCCTATGACATTCTTCACAAAAATAGAAAAAAAATCCTCGAATTTATATGGGATCACAAAAGACCCAGAATAGCCAAAGCTATACTGAGTAAAAAGAATAAAACTGAGGGAATCACATTACCTGACTTCAAGTTTACTATAGAGCTATAGTAACCAAAACAGTACAGCACTAACATAAAAACAGACACACAGACAAATGAAGCAGAATAGAAAATCCAGAAACCAATCTACACACCTACAGTGAACTCATTTTCAACAAAGGTGCCAAGAGCATACAATGGGGAGAAGACAGTCTTTTCAATAACTGGTGCTGGGAAAACTGGATATCCATATGCAGAAGAATGAAACTAGACCCCTACTTCTTGCCATATACAAAAATCAAATGAAAATGGACTAAATTCTTAAACCTAAGGCCTCAGACTATGAAACTACTACAAGAAATATTGAGGGAAACTCTCCAAGACACTGGTCTAGGCAAAAGTTTCTTTCATAATGCCCTACAAGTGCAGACAACCAAAACAAAATTGACAAATGAGATCACATCAAGATAACAAGCTCCTGTACAGCAAACAATCAGCAAAGTTAAGAGATAACCCACAGAATGGGAGAAAAATATTTGCAAAATACCAATCCGATAAGGGATTAATAACCTGAATACATGAAGAGCTCAAATGATTTTATAGGAAAAATCTAATAATCCAATCAAGAAATGGGCAAAATATTTGAATAGACATTTCTCAAAAGAAGCCACACAAGATGGCTCACGCCTGTAATCTCAACACTTTAGGAGGCCAAAGTGGGTGGATCACCTGAGGTCAGGAGTTTGAGATCAGCCTGATCAACATGGCGAAACCCTAAAATACTAAAAATACAAAAATTAGCTGGGTATGGTGTGGGTGCCTATAATCCCAGCGACTTGGGAAGCTGAGGCAGGAGAATCACTTGAACCCAGAGGGTGGAGGTTGCAGTGAGTCAAGATCATGGCACTTCACTCCAGCTTGGGCTAAAGAGGACATACAAATGGCAAAAAAAGTTATATGAAAAGGTGTGCAACATCAGAGAAATGCAAATCAAACTACATGAGACATGAGATATCATCTCACTGAAATTAAAATGGCTTTTATTTAAAAGTTTGCCAATAAGAAACATTGGTGAGGATGTGGGAAAAAAAGGAACCCTTGTACACTGCTGGTGGGAGTGTAAATTAGTACAACCACTATGGAGAACAGTTTTTAGGTCCCTCAAAAAAACTAAAAATAGAGCTACCATATGATCCAGCAATCCTACTGCTGGGTACATACCCAAAATTAAGAAAATCAGTATATTGAAGATAAATCTGCACTCTTATGTTTGTTGCAGCACTGCCCACAATAGCCAAGATTCGGAAGCAACCTAGGTGTCCATCAGCAGATGAATGGATAAAGAAAAGGTAGTACTTATACACAATGGAGTACTATTCAGTCATAAAAAAGAATGAAATGCTATTATTTGCAATAACATAGGAAGAAATGGAAGTCATTATATTAAGTGAAAATAAGCCAGGCTCAGAAAGACAAACATCATCTATTCTCACATATTTGTTGGATCTAAAAATCAAAACAAATGAACTCATTGAGATAGAGAGTAGAAGAATGGTTAGCAGAAGCTGGTAAGGGAAGTAGGGGGCTTGGAGGAAGGTGACAATGGTTACTGGGTATAAAAAAGATACAAAGAATGAATAAGTCCTAGCATTTGCTACCAAAACAGCAGGACTATAGCAATTAAAAATTTACTTGTACATATTAAAATAATTAAAAGAGTACAATTTAATTGTTTGTAGCACAAAGGATAAGTGCTTAGGGGGATGAATACCCAATTTTCCATGATATAATTATTATCATATCATGCCTTTATTAAAATGTCTCACACACCACTTAAATATATACACCTACTATGTACTCACAAAAATTAAAAATTAAGAAATTTAAAAACTACAAGCAACCCAAAGGTCCATTAATAAGTAAATGGATAAACAAATCAAGGTATATAAAACAATTAGATACTATACAACTATACAAAGGATCAACATGGATGAATCTCAAAAATATATTAAGTGAAAGATGCCAGACACAGGCCAGGTGTGGTGGCTCATGCCTGTAAACCCAGAAATTTGGGAGACTGAGGCAGGTGGATCACTTGAGGTCAGTAATTCAAGACCAGCCTGACTAACATGGTGAAACCCCATCTCTAAAAAAAAACAAAGCCAGGCACAAACTATATGTGATACTATATGAATACTATATGTGCCATTTATATGAAATTCTAGAAAATGGAAATCTAATCAATAATAGAATGCAGATTAGTGGCTGCTGAGAGCCAGGGGAGGATGGACTGCAAAGGAGGCTTGAAGGAAGTTTTTGCGGTAATGAAAATATTCTACATTTTGATTGTGATGGTTCCTACATGTATTTTAAAATACGTCAAAACTCATTGAACGGTACACTTAAATTGGCACATTTTATTATATGTAAATTAATCCTCAATAAAATTCATTTGAAATAAAATATATTTGTATCTTCTGCCAAAACTTTATTTAACTAACAAACCAATTGCTATCATTTAGTAAGGAGGGCACTGAGCAAAATAGACTCAGGACAGTTTTATTTTGTCAAGGGTTTAGACAGTCTTGAGTATCATCTTGCATTGTAAGCGTCTAGGGAAGCCTGGGACTCTAGAAATCTGATACTTAAAAATATATATCTAAAAGAAACAGTAGAAGGGGAGGAAAAGAAAAGGGTGTTCTACGCCCATGTTTGTGTGTGGGTGTGGTGGGGGCAAGAAGGAGCAAGGGTATCAAAACATGGGCAGGCAACTATTGGTGGTGTCTCAAAGTAAAAAAAATTAAAGATATATTTTGGAGTGAAGATTACCTCAAACTTTAGTGAACATTAAAATCACCTGCACAGTTAGTCAACATGCAGATCCCTGGGCCCCACCACAGAGATTCAGTGGGTTTGGAGAAGAGCTGAGATTATGCATTTCTAGCAAGCTTCTGGGTGATGCTGATGCTGCTGATCAAGAGACCACACTTTGTGTAGATCTGATCTTTAACCCTAATGTTATTCTAAAGCAGAGATGAACCCTCATATTTAATTATTGCTGAAAATTGTTCCGTTGTCATGGCCAAGGCATATTGGTTCAGAAGGTTTTTAGAAGAGAGAATTTATTCAAGAGAACACTGATTTTGTTCCTTGCTCCAAATTTGGTCAGTATTTAATGAGCACTCCTTGGAATTTGTGATAAGAGGAGGTGAATAAGCTTATGAATATAGATCCTAGTTGCTTACCATTTCTTTCTCAGAAAATTCCAAGTATCATCTATAAGTGTGAGCAGGAATCCCTCATCCTGCCATCAAAATGTGAGTGGTGATTGCTTGAACTCCTTCAGTTGGAAGTCAATGGTTTTGTGATCCTCAGAATACGTGATTAATGAGTTTCACTTTACTGACATTTTTAATGTCAACATTACCAACAGCAGATGGGAGATGTCTGCATTGGGTGTCTGTTTCCAATTAAGATCTTTAATTTATGGTAAATGAATATGTATCAATCATGTCTGCCTTACATTCAGTGTATGCTTGGTTGATCAACAATAAAAGCTGCCGGGAATGTTTTGGCACACAAAAAGAGACAGCCCACAGGTAGAAGGCTCACTATTTTAATGGTTCCTTAATTACTTAAATCAGAAAAAGTAAAAAAAAAAAAAGGCAACAAATGAGCTTAGTAGTTCTTTTGTTTAATATATGTATGTGAAAATTTGGAAAATTGAAGAGGATAAAGAAATACCTGTAGACATCTCCACCCTAAAACAAACCCTGTTAGCATTTAGGTATCTTATTCCGGTCTTTGGACTAAGCATAGAAGCATTTAGATAAGTATAATTACATATTGATACCTGAGTTTTTCACCTAATATATCCTATGCTTGATTTTCCTTGTTTTTCACAATCTGTTTCTGCTATCTATTGCTTCATAACAAATCACCCCAAAACTTAG